CATCACCATCACCATCACCATCACCATCACCATCACCATCACCATCACCATCACCATCACCATCACCATCACCATCATCATCATCATCATCATCATCATCATCATCATCATCATCATCATCATCATCATCATCATCATCATCATTATTATTATAGTTTTGTATTTTAAAGTCACTTTGGCAAAAGAGTTGAGATCCTTACTGTTAATTACCACAAATTTGTTTACGGTGAATGTTTCCGTGAAAATAAAGTGATCAGTGTTGAGCTGAAGAACTCTGCAGTACTCCTGCAAATACTACCTCCTATTTTTAAATAGGCGGTGAGATTCATTAACTTGAATGTCTTTTTCTCTGACAGGTACGAAAACAAGAACAGGAATCGCTTCGAGTTTGGCACCTCTGAGCGCATGTCTCTCAAGGAAGCCGCTGCAAAAGTCCAGGAACAGATCGCGGCTGTAGACATCTTAGTTACACATGGCGGAGCACAGGATGCAGAATTGCTTGATTGCTGTGGGATTTCAGTGACAGAGAAGATTATGTTTGACACGCAACTTCTAGCCATGGTTTTAATACAAGATCGACGACAGCACCTCAATAATCTAAAGCAATTGCTGGTCGAGTTGGAAATCCCATTTGATAAAAATGTTCGCCTTTACAACAGCGGAAATTATGCCTACTTAAACGCGGCTGTATTTCTGAAACTTAAAGACATCGCAATCTCGCGAAAGTAGCTCACCCATTTCTATCTTCAAATCGATTCTGTACAATTCTATGAGTAAAGGAAACATTTTGTTTTCGTATTGTTGGTGGTTTTGAATCCCTTTTATATTCTTTAAAATTTTTAAGGGTCTTTCAGAGAGTTGCATCACTATTACTCAGATTGTATGAAAGATTATTTCTTTTTGAGTCAAAATAATTTTTCATGTGTTATTGTTGCTATGGTAACCTGGTACGCCAAGAAAAGTACAGAGATCGTTTACGGCATCCCAGAAACTGAACAACATACGTCAAAGTTCTAGTATTACCTGTCACCCAAAAACTGGGTAAAAATACTATTGAGAGCAGTTAAGGATCATGTTCATCCTATCAACTTTGAGCGCCTCTTTGGCCTTTAAACAAGACTGAACTGCAGTTGTGACGTGAAGAAATTTCGCAGTGGTACGCCACTGTTTTCCAGATCTATCCCATCCCTTCTTCTGCGGGTGTGACACGAATAAAATTTGCGTTTAAGAATTAGTGTTGTAGTGATTTAGTTCCCTTCTTTGGGCGTAAGACCTTTTTCTGAAAGCAACGGTTAAGGCCTTCGCTTGCTAATCAGCATTTTTTTATTTGAAAGCAGTTAAGGCAGAGTTAGACCCCATTCGGACTCCGAGCGTTTCATGAGCCGACTGATCTGAATTAAGCCTGACCCAAATTATTAAGACCGGCTGAATTGATTCAGACGCCGATCTTAATATTCAAGAGGAGCAAAATATCCACTTCGGTCAAACTGCTTCCAAAATACGTCATAATAACTTATGCATGTGGTTCGGTTCATAGAAAGGTCGGCGTCTGAATCAAAGCCGTTCCAATGTTCATCCAAAGGCAAAATTCTAGGTTAGGCAAGGCGGGAAGAACGGTTGAGCCGTTCCAAATTGAAACAGGCGTTCCTCTGATTGATTCAGAAGCCGAACTTTTCATGTACTTAATTCAATGTGTTAGGTTCGGCTCACGAAAAGTTTGACCGCGTCTGAACCGGGNCTGTTTTCCAGATCTATCCCATCCCTTCTTCTGCGGGTGTGACACGAATAAAATTTGCGTTTAAGAATTAGTGTTGTAGTGATTTAGTTCCCTTCTTTGGGCGTAAGACCTTTTTCTGAAAGCAACGGTTAAGGCCTTCGCTTGCTAATCAGCATTTTTTTATTTGAAAGCAGTTAAGGCAGAGTTAGACCCCATTCGGACTCCGAGCGTTTCATGAGCCGACTGATCTGAATTAAGCCTGACCCAAATTATTAAGACCGGCTGAATTGATTCAGACGCCGATCTTAATATTCAAGAGGAGCAAAATATCCACTTCGGTCAAACTGCTTCCAAAATACGTCATAATAACTTATGCATGTGGTTCGGTTCATAGAAAGGTCGGCGTCTGAATCAAAGCCGTTCCAATGTTCATCCAAAGGCAAAATTCTAGGTTAGGCAAGGCGGGAAGAACGGTTGAGCCGTTCCAAATTGAAACAGGCGTTCCTCTGATTGATTCAGAAGCCGAACTTTTCATGTACTTAATTCAATGTGTTAGGTTCGGCTCACGAAAAGTTTGACCGCGTCTGAACCGGGCGTAATATAGGCGATGGCTCTTACTCCAGCAATCACTTAGTTTCCAGTTGTTGAATTCTTTTATTTTGTTTTTTTTTGTTTTCCTATTTTTTTTTGTTTTTTTCTATTTTTCACGTCTTTTTTTGCACGCACGGCACGTCTCTAGCATACAAGTAGCTACACCCCATCTCCGTGCCTGTCTCGTGATCAGTGTTGTTCGCAGGTTTTTCTTGGTCTCTTGACCTGTTTCTTCCCGTTACTAATCTGAGTAGTCGAGCTGTTGAAACGTTTTCCCCTCATGCAATGTACAATACCAGAAACCTGACGAGCTAAAAGTAGAAATAAGATGACTTGAAAGAAAAACTCCTTGCCTGTGCGACTTCAATACTCCTGTTTAAATGTCTTAAACATCCGAGTTCTTCGGGCGCGGATCAAGAAAATTTAATAAGTGGTGGCCGGGATACTTTTTATTTTACTGAGAATTTTTTTTCACATAATACGAAATATAAAAGAAAAAGGTGGGGAGGGGGCAGCTGCAGTCCCCCCTGGCCACACCCCTACCTCCCCCCCCCTCCATACTCTTTAAAGAGTGACGACTACTGCGTTACACTGCTGGGTGTTTTTTTTATGTCTAGTATGTACGTAAGCACTTAGACGAGCAATGGCCTGTGCCTATTTGTTTGGAAGAAAATGTTTAAAATTCAAAATGTTGTCTTTACCATTTGATGACTTTGATAACATGTGGATTTTCAAGGAGGTTAAAGATAACAAAACGAAAACTTAAAAATAAATTTTCTTTTGAATCTGAAACCGTAAGTTTTCTGAATTTCGAACTGATTGGAATATGATCGGGTATGTTGCGTCATATATCATTTTTAAATATAGACATTGATCCTTTTGTTTCCATATTTAGTTATTCTATATTATACAAACAAGTTCATTCTGACATATTGCTATCAGTTCAAGTGTTCCTCCATTCGTTTAGTGCAAGTATCATCGAATGCGTTTATATGGCTTCAAGAAATTCAGACATTCTGTATAAATACGAGTCCATGAGAATCAAATGGAGTCGATGTTTTGAGGAAATCAGAAATGATCATGTGGCTGACTCGATCAAAACGTTTTTCCGCAATTTTCATAGAAATCACAGAGGTTTTACCTTCGTGGTTGGGGAGCTGTATGATGGGACAACTCATCTGTTTGTTAAGCAGTCTAAATATCGACAAATCAAGAATGAGATAGAAGAACGAGTTGATGAGACTTTGCCAGACGTCGCAGAGTTCAGGGATGTTACAATTATAAAAAGAAGAATATCATTTCAAGGTTTCCAGTCGTACCGAGATTTTGGCAACATCCTCAAAGAAAAAAACCTGGAAGTCGAAAGAAGGTTTGTAAACCGTTGTGTAATTACATCCGGAGTTAAACAAACTGAGTCGTTGGCAGCAGCCTGCATGCAACTTCGTTTGGTGATCTCTAGTTCAAGTCATGCCAAAAGAGCCGTGGGAGAGAGGGCTTGCTGGCGAAGGCTTTGATGACTTGGCTTGTTTTATACGGCATCACGCCTACCAGTCGCGACTTGTTTCATTGTAAACAGATTTAAAACGTTCTCTCTGATAGCACTGTGGAACAGTGACTGTTCTTAATATCCTTACAAACTGATGTAAATTGAAAATTTTTGGGTTGTGCACTGTTCCCTGTCGAATAAACAATGGAAGAAGAATATGTTACGGCAAGTTCCTAAAGGATGATTACGAAAATAGAAATCTACCAATTAGTTACTGGGATCCATTACCTCATTTTCTGTATTTGAATAAAAATATAATACTATAAATTCAATTTTTTTTAGTGGAACGGTTGCCTGAAGATGTTATTCATTTTATGCCAGGTGTTGTCGTCACTTAAAGGATTTTTCGTTTACGCTCTGTTTAACCTTATTCCAACGGTTCCGGTTGCTGTTAACGAGCTTCGATTGGCAAATCTTGATTTAGATTTTAAAATCCGGATTTCGGATAGCTACTGTAGCTAAGGCTTGTCTGCTTCTAAACCGTTATTTTCTGATAATTTTTAGAAGACATGCAGACGCAAGAAAAAGTGTAAGAAAACTACGCAGGACTCTAAGAGCAGCAGATCCAAATGCCCTGATTTTGGCATTTGACCTGGAAGTTTACGAACATGACCACAGTATCATCTTGGAGATTGGCTACGCTATGACAACATTGAACAACCCGAAAAAGATGCAAAAGTTCCACTACATCATTAAAGAAAATCTAAGGTATGTGAAGATTTGGAACTGCTAAGAGGGAAATTGAAGGCCGACTAAAGCCTCATGAAAGCCTTGAGAATTTTCAGGCCAAGGTTGATAATTACCATATTCCGTTGATTTAATTTACTAAAGATTTCACACTTGTGTATGCTAGGAAACGCACTTACCTCAGTGTATTCAGGATATGAACGTTTACTTCGGCTGGAAATAACGGACTGCATCTCGGTCAGCAGTGACGAAAGGAGATTAACTAATAAGGGACTACTGCTTATTGCGTCATGGTACAGAACCGAACAAAGCGACGGCTTACAACTGAACGATTGGGCCTTTCTTGATTCTTTGGGATTTTACCACCTTCTAACTACCAATAACAACAACAATAATAATAACACTAAGATTATCTTCTCCCCTATGGGGCTTATCAGGGATAATCAGGGAACAAATAATTTTAAATCGAACCGGATAAAAACATGGTTGTAAGTCCCAACGGGTAGGAGGCGAACCAGTTGGCTATTTTACAAGCTTGACCGGGGATTTTAACCCGGGACAACCGAGAACAAATCCAGCTAGCGGTCCAGCGCATTAACCGCTCGGCCAAGCTGCCTCCTACCAAAAACAGAGCAAGTCAGTTGGTATTTATTTTTCATAATTTTACAGGTACGCAAACAAAGATTTTGTGCCTGATAACAGGGATCACTTCATATTTGGCACCTCAAAGCGCATGTCTCTTAGGAGAGCCGCTGCAAAAATCCAGGAGCACATTGCAGAGGCTGATTTCTTAGTTACTCACTCTGGAGCACACGATACAGAGTTCCTAGACAGCTGTGGGGTCTCCATATCAGGGAAGCTCATGTTCGACACTCAGATCCTTGCTACGGCGTTACTTCCAGACGGACCACCGCTCTACAGTCTGAAGAGGTTGCTGGAAGACTTGGAAATTAAATTTGATGAAAAGATTCTTCATAATGGCGGAAATGATGCTGTCTATACTATGAAGGTGTTCCTAACCTTGACGCAGCACGCACTTTGAAGAGCCTTACAAATTGCCTGTGTAAAAGCTAGATCTCCAATAGTCACACCAGAAATACCTTCACATAATTCGTTTACTGGAATCTCCATACCTGTCGATTGACTAAGTCAGCAGTAAAATGATAAAAAATGGGTATTTAAGCACAGGGTGGGATACGCGACGGTATAAATTGAAAGATTTGAAATTTGCAGTTTGAAAGATAGGTTACGTGATTTGTACAGTTTACTATTATTTTCTTTCATTACAATCTTTTTTCATAAGAATGTATTTTATAAAAATATCGAGACTAAAATTTGCGAAATTTTAAGAATATCAGTTTTAAGAATAAACCCGAGGCTGGTTGAAAGGGATATAATTTTGTTTGTTGAATTATATGTTGGGCTAAACTATACCTAACAAACGAAGGAACCTGCACTAGCTATAGCCAAATGTTCAATGCAAATAACAGTTCGATAAACGGTACATGAAATACATACCTATAGTATATAGCACAAAAAAAATGAATAAACCGCAAAGAGTGTATAATAAATAGGCCTTCTGGTCAAGGTTTTGGAAGTCATCTTGACGAGTAGGTAACCGCGTAAGAAATTACAGTGTTTGTATGAGAATCTAATGTGGAATAATTTCCGTAAAACGGCTGTTCTGCAAACTAAAGCTTCACTCCTAGCGATTCTACTGACAAAATGTTTGGGCGTTACATGCAGCTACATGCGCTAGAACCACTGTTCTGCGTTAACCTTACACTACCTAAAGTGGTAGTTACATCGATTCGAGATCTATTTCTCCCACGACCAGAAACTCATAAGGGGTTGAAACGTGTAACTTACATATGTTTGCTTTGTCCGGTGCTCGTGATTATTCATTTTCGAAAGTACCATATTTGGAACGAGAAGAAGAGATAACTGACCAATCAAACTTCGTAAACAACGTGACGTAATTTTACTTCATGTTCCCGCGCCCGTTGGAAAAAAATGGCCTACAAACGGGGGAAAAACTCCCGAAATCCGAGAAAGCTTTTAAAGGTTGAATCGAGGAATCTTACCGAAACACTGAGCAGGATATTATTGCCTTACCACCCGGGCCAAACATAACATTATGAAACCCATTGACGTCCTCGCAACTTCTTGAAGTTGTCACTTCCAAAAACGATGCCTCGTTGATCCTCTGCACGGTAAACTTATACTGCAAACGGTAGGCTTTTAAAATTCTTATATTTAAAGTCTAGAATAAACAGTAAAAAATATTTTCGAATAAAATTCATTAGCTGCGTATCGAAAAGAGTCCAAAACCTGAACCTGACTTCTTCGCAAAAAGTGATGCGTGTAATGAATGTGAGAAGCATTTAAGCTTAAATTCGGCTTGGATGTTGTAGTCACGATCGTGTTTTGAGATAATTTTATGAATGAACAAACTCAAAACAATAGACAGAGAAGCCCTTTCTTGAAAATTTTTATTCAAAATCCAAAAAGTCAATCCTTTAAAGCAATTCGAAAAACACTATCTGGATCGTGGATCCGTACACGCAAGTTAAATCGGCTGAACACATGACAAAATTAAACACAAAATCCATCTCAAATTGGGGCACATTTTCTAATTTTTCTTTAGCGCCGAAGTGAAAAATTTATAAAACGTCTATGAAACATTTAAAAATACATAAATTCCCTTTCAAAAACTTAATTGTTTTGGCCATAGAGTGCAAAATGTACCTGAAAATTCAGCAAAAACTTCACTGCCTTGGTTGCATTTCAAAACAGACCATGCGCTCCGTCCAGAAGAAAACAAGTTTGAATTGCAGTCCCGAAACGTCTGGATTTTCAAACATTTTAGCGCTAAGAACACAAAGACAAATTTTAATTGTAATCAGCCATTTGTTGAAAATGGATATCTGTCACTAAGGTTTCCAAATATGGTAAAAGTGAATATTCACGAGCATTGAACGCGAGTTACCCGTTTCAACCCCTTATGAGTTTCTGCCACGGCTTTATTGAGCAATTAAATTTACAACACGTTCAGACGAGAAATCTTTCTTTGTTGCACTCTCAAATGAGATAATTAAACCTGGATTAAGAAAACTTACCGTGTTAGTGTCCGTGTTAGTGTAACTGTAATTAGATTACAAAACGAACTGCTTTCATCAACCTAGCTGATTATAACGCGCGGCCATGACAGTTTGTAATTTCGAGCCCAGGACTCCTCGTCCACACTTCAAATTCTCCTCACACACAACTTGGGTTGGTAGAAAAGAGACACTGCCTCAGCCTCCTCCTCAGGCGCTTCGTTTTTCGCATGGCAGAGGCGAGCGCAAAACGAGTGACTGGTGATGAACCGCAAGGGACCATGGGAAGGGTACAGACGGCTCCTTCCCGCCTTCCTTTGCGCGCACATTTTCATCAAAAGAGAGACGTCTGGGTACGAGGCAGACACTGCCTTTCGTGATTATTCTAAGTTTTATGATCGTAATGAAAAATAGGTTTTATTTTTTTCACTTTTGCCAAAATATCCCAAAATTACAAACATGATATTTCAGGAGTTTTACTAATAAAAAAGTATTGATTTTCTCAGATCTGTGCCATCTTCTCGTCTCTGAACAGAGATGGCTCTTTTACTCACGGATCTTCGTCTGTATGACATTTCGAACATATTTTATATGGCAAAAAACCTTTAAAAAAGATATCCGCAAAATGCTGACGTCAGCATTTTTATTTAAACCTGTTTATTCCTGTTACCAACGTTTCAGCGATGCCTCTTTATCCTAAATTCTTAACTGTACATAGAGGCCTACAAAAACGCAGAGTTTAGTTCTCTCTTCAGAAAAACGCACAATTCCTTCTTTTAACATGATACTGACTATTACTAGAAATGTTGCCAAAATTATTTTAAAACAACCAAAAATGCCCCTCTGTGAAAAGAAGTAAAATAAAATTAATGGAAATATATCAACGGAAAACACACGTATATTTGGAAAAGAATTGTTTTCCATATAAGGGATAATTATGAAATGTTGCATCATATGATTTAAGTAGAATTCCAATCATAGCTGTTCAAGCTCCGTTTGCCAAAACCTGAATACTCTGCTGCCACCAAGAAGTTTATTTTAGACACAGCCACTGCCAACTTTTTTGTGATTGAGAGTTTAACCCCTAATATCTCTCCACTGAGAATTTACCAAGTTTTGTATCGTTTACGAAATTAACAATGGCTGCACCAGTAAATCGCAACATTTTCTACAAATACGAAGCCATGAGAACAAAATGGAGCCGATGTTTCGAAGACGTAAATCCGAGGGCCTCAGGAACGATCAAAACCTTCTTCAACACCTTCCATAAGAATCACAGAGGTTTTACGTTCGTAGAGGGGGAGCTATTCGATGAAACCATCTATCTTCTCGTTTCACCTGATCAGTACAATCAAATCAAGGAAGAAATTGAAAAGAAAGTTGGGGACACCCTTCCGGATGTTTCAAAGTCAAGGGACGTAACCATCAAAGATAGTGGCAAATCATTCCCGAATCTTCAGTCGTTCAGGAATTATTCCAGCACCCTTAATAAACAAAACAAAGAAGTTGAAAAGAGGTAAGAAATATTTCTTTAGTATGTTTTGAATACTATTCTATAAAGCTGCAAGCTCTAGTACACGTTTCATTTAGTCCCCACGATTCAGTTGAACGACTTATCCTGGGCTTCTTTTGTCAACTCAAACTGTTCATATCAATCGTTACTTTCTACCCAAAATAACTGGCTGGCTATGGATAAAGTCGAGGTACTCCTCGTACATTCATCATACGCAGAAAAGCCCTAAAAACTTATAAAATACGCCTTTGTTGTGCTGGACTTAATACATAATTTAAAAAGTGCTATTTCGAAGCTTTCTCCACAGTTTCTACGATATTTCGGCATGCTATATGTTTCGATTTCTCGTTATTCGTTCGATTATTCTGTACGTCAATGGTCTCGAGAAGACAATGGGGAAAACGAAAGCAGAAACGTTCTTAGTCATGATCTAACGAATCGCTAGGTTCTTTGAAGCCACTGGCGTGTTATGTCGAAATCACGGCTAACGTCGTTTTTTTGCATAACCTGAGATAGCGACCCAATTTTAGCAACCATCATACAACACATTCTCTCTAAGATGGTCGCGAAACGAAAATATAGAGCCTGATCTCAGGTTAATCTCTTGGGTATGCAATTCGTCAGCAAATGAATTATCGCTACATAACCATCACTACCTAATTATTATGCAGTGTCGTGCGTATATGTTACGGAGTAGGAGTTTGGTTTATAAAATTAAAGGCATTCCATTTTACTGTGTCTAGCTCTACCTTCTGTATCACAACGTTCTAACGAACTGTTAGTCACCTTACGACATCGCAGGATTAAGCCTGTATAAAACCTTTTAGAGGAGTTTCAGGGATAACTTCTAGTATTGCAGGACGCCCCATCAACACCAAAGGAGTCTTGTATAATTCACTTTTTACCTGCGTTTAAATAAAACACGTATGTAGTAAATGAAACGATACATACCATCAACGCTGGTATCTCGACAAATTCAAGTAACCTTCTATTCTCTGAAACCTCGAGACCGTCATGAATAGATGCTTACCTATAGGACAAAGGCCTGTTCTTGAATTAAACCAATACATGAAGGGTTGGATAAATGCAAAGAAACAATAAAAAACATTGGACTTTATGACACTTTGTTTCTCAAAAAGTAAAGGACGTCGTCCATCGCGGGATATCTAGGAAAATTCCCAGACTTTCAGAGGGCCCAAAAGAAATCCAGTAACCCGGGAAGAATCATCGAATAAACTAAATAAATTCAAAGAGGCATATCATATACACGAACTTACAACACTTCGTTTCTCGCAAACTGATTGATGTCGTCTTTCGGATTCTAGGAAACTGATAGACATGTGTTTTATCTCCTTTCGAAAAAGTTCGAAAATAAAGTTTTATACATGTAGAAGATAAAAGATATATGATTATATGATATATTATAAGAACTTGCAAAAAGTTTGTTTCTAGGAAACTATATGACGTCATTGATCAAAATTCTGGGAAAAGACGCGACAAACCCAGTTGAGCTTCAATACTGGTTTTCTTAGAAAAAAACAAAGCGTCATCAAGTGGATTCTCGTAAAAAAATTATTGTTGCGAATAAATAGATCACCGAAAAAATGAAATTTCCCTTTGCTGCCTATTCTCGTTGACGAGTTCGTCGGCTGTTCGTTTGAAATCAGTTTTTTTTTTCAGTCCTGTTAAAGGAACTGATGTCAAAACTGATTTCAAACAAACAGCCGACGAACTCGTCAACGAGAAAAACCTTGGTGTTGTATACTATAAACTTAGCTATATACAGGCATAAATAAGAAAAAACTCGAAAATGTAATATTTTTCCTCAAAGAGGCACTTTCGCGGTCTATGTATATGCGTTATTGACCAAGCGTGAGGTCCACATGGCTGGATATTGGCCAAGTCTTTTTTGCGTTTTTATGGACCGAGTTCGTAGTTGTCTTCTGAGGTAATTTTTTCCGATGAGATTGTGAGGGTAGCCCTCTAGTACGAAAGCTTGTGAATTAACTGAGTAGTTTGTTCTAAAACTGTAAGGTCTTCCTTTCATGAGACCTTTCTGATCTTTTCTGGAGCTAAGTCAAGCGCGAAATTTCTTAAGGTCCAAAGTGCACTTCCCAGATCTGGAAGTCTGCTGTGATTGGTCTACGTTTTTTTCCGCTCAAATCAGCAGACGTGAGTGGGGCAGGAACGCGTGACGAACCCCCTAAGAACGCCTGCGGAGGAGGCTACGCGACGTTTGCATTAGTTGATCACGTGATAAACTTTCTGCAAACACGAACACGCTTCGCTTTTGAAAAATTTTGTTAGCACGAGCTGAGACACCATATTAAAATTTGGTAACCTGTAAATTCTCAACCTTATATCTCAAAAGTAGCGATTGCAACGGCCTCCGAAATTTAGAGGGATTTTTATGGGAAAACAACTTTTGCCACCCAGTCACGCTGCAATGTTTCTCCATCCAAATCCTTGTAAATTTTGAAATTTTCAAACTGTTGTGAAATTTTTCCTTAAGCATTACTTGACTCAAATCTCCTTTTTATTCTTGACAGGCAATTTGAGCCCTCAAATGCGTAAGGGAAAGATTTAACGAGAGTTTAAAAATTTCAAAATTTACAAGGATTTGTACGGAAAACCACTCAAGCGTGACTGGGTGGCAAAAGTTGTTTTTCTCATACAAATCCTTCTAATTCTCGGCGGCCGTTGCAATCGCTTCTTTTGAGATCTACGGCTGAAAATGTACAGGTTACCTAATTTTAATATGCTCTTTCAGTTTCTGCTAATTTTCCGAAAACAAACTATTTTCGTGTTTACAGAAAGTTGATCACGTGACCAGACTATTGCAAAAGGTCTATTGTAGTTTTATTATTACTTCGGCGGAGCGCGAAGTAAAGGATTCGCGACGCTCAGGAATGTATCAAAGTCGACTGTTTTTGACAAGATTGGGCACGCAAAGTCTGTAGGTTTTCGGTTTTATTCGGCTATTTGACGAAGTGAGAGCCGAATTAGTGCGAGATATCTCGAGATCACTTTGATTTCTTTGATTTATTCTTTAACTTTTTCGAGGAAGAAAGAATTATTTTTTTGGTTTCCCCGGGGTTTGAACCGACTCACCTGTGTGACCCGTCAGATCAGTGGAGACTCTAAGTTGACGGATTAGCCAATTGCACTACTGCGACCCAAGGTAGTTCGGGATATGAAAAATAGTTATGAAATGATGCACTTAGTTTCGGGACAAGATTGGGCGTGCAAGTTCGTGACTTTTCGGCTTGTTTCGGCTATTTCACGAAATGAGACCGGACTACTTCGTGATATCTTGAGATCACTTCGAGTTTAGTCTTTAATTTACTCGAGGAATAAATAGAGGATATTACGTGGCCGCGCAGATACAAGAAACAAAGTTCTCTTCGAGTGTTGAAAAACATTTCACCATTGAGGCCTCCTTTCAAACTGTTTGATGATGAATTTAAAGTTACAAAATGCTGCACAAAGACATTTTGTCTTTGTTGAGTGTTACGTGGTAAAACTGCTTTCATGCGTTCCGTGACTTTCTCGAACGTTCTCTACGTTTTTGGATTATTCATGAATAATTAATTATTCATTTCAGCATGAGTCAGCAGATTTGCATCAGTTACTGAAATCATAAAATATGTCGAAAAGCTACTACAATCCCGCTCTGTTTTCAGTTCTTTCGGTGTCGTGTTGATGTCTTGCAGAGTTAATTTTCACGTAGTACGATCAGCATTGCAGTATTCTGCTTGCAGAATTTAATATGTCTACTATTCGCCTGTTTAGTATTTTCTAGAACCTTATGTTAAACGGTATACAAGTACGAAGCGGGTTGTTTTGACGAACTAAGTTTTTTCCCAAGAGATGGACTGCTGTGATAGTCAGGTGTGATGAAGGCCGATTTTCAAGTTCTGTGTTTACAAGTTGGCGGAAGCCGTAAGATATCTGAAGTTCAAGTAAGAGTTTGTTATTATTGGCAGAGGCTGTTTAGTTTTACTTAAGTTCAAGTCAAGTTTGTGTTGGCGGATGCTGTGTTTTAAAGCTCTGTAAAGGCTATGTTCCTTTCGCATGCTCGCTGTTAACTTTTTCTCTCATTTGCATTTTCACGATCGACGTTTATGAATAGGCGCGTTTCTGTAATGCCCTGCGTGCTGATAGTCAGTGAATAATTATCTTCAAAACATTCGAACTCGTAACATTGAGTTTTAACCAATTCCATGCTCAACGTAATTGACTCCTTACCCATGCCTTACCTATCTTAACTCGGTATATGAGACTGCTATGGTGTTTTTGAAACCTGATATTACTAAGAAAAATAGGGAATTCTTTTTTCACTGTTTGATTTGTTAGACTTGTTATTCACTGCCAGCAACCTCATATTTGACTTAGGTTTAAGCGTTTAGACCCAAGTCAAATTTAGAAGGATTTGTATGGAGTAATCAGAGCATAAAAGGACTAGTCACTCAGAGATTATTTGTCCCGAACTGCTAGTTTTTGGCAAGTAGGCCTCTTGGATGTTGCTCTTTTCAGAATATCCTGACAAATCCCATAATTTCACAAATTAGCATCTTATATTACTCTTACCATATTTCTTTTCTTACTATTCCTCCGCATTTACAATTAATCAGTTCCCCAACCACGACGCCGAAGTGTACGCTCCGTAGCGTCTTGTTGTAGTCAATAAAAGATTCAGTTACATCGTCAAAACGGAAGCGTGCTCTCGCGAGAGCAACGCGGGAAATCCCGCTCGGGTAGCCAATCAGACCACAGCTTCGCTTCATCTTGCTGCTCGCAGATTCAGCCATAAAAAATAATTAGGGAAATTGAAACAAACAGCAATGTATGAAAGCTCTATCAAATTGATTACAAGACTGGAGTTACGATAGCTACCCTTCGGGACCAAATCCTAATCAACATTTGCGAACTATTCGAATTCCAGCGAGACAAAATGAACAAAAACCGGCTCAGACTCGTTCTCAACAGCGAGAGTACGCTTTCTATAAAACGTTTGACATCTTACCAGGGTCTTTATTTTGCGTGTATTAGTGAGATAATAAACGTCTCTTGAGTGTTTTCAAAGTTACACGTTAATGGAGTTGTCTAGATAGACTATTTAAAGGTATTCTACGATTAAAAGCGTTTAGATTTAAAAGCGACGTCAAGTTCTTTGGTTTGTCAGTTTCAAGTTGTGCTATTACTGCAAATGGTTCAAAGTATTCAAGAACTCTTTCTCTCGCTCCAATAGACAATTTTACAGTTGTGTGCTCAGTGCCCTGGCCTTTGGATAGAAGCGAGGTTGGGGGTGACCTTGTTTTATTACAAACCTTCTTGTTTTTCATAATATGTAAATGATCTTGTTCACGGGCTTGATAGACTGAGAATACCAAGATTTGCACGTGAAAAGCAGGAAGGTTTGTAACAAAACAAGGTCACCGCCAGCCTCGCTTCTATTTAAAGGCCAGGGCACTGAGCACACAACTGTAAAATGGCTAGCCTGCGAGCAAGCTCTCCTATTTGGGCAAGCGAAGCAAGCCTCGCGACAACGCGCGAGCGAGTTCGATTACGGTTACTGCAGGGATGCACTACCATAAAGCATGATCTTCAATACCATAAAGCATGAACAAACTTAACGATGGACCAATTGACGTTTGGTGGGCAATTGCAAAAAAAGAAAATAATCAGCGCCAAAACAGCAGTTTGCACTAACAAATAAAAATAACTATAATAATATATTTTTCCTTAAATAAGTTCTTCACAAAAGAGCACGTGCCCGCAGGTAGCTAGTGTTAGTCTTGGCGGCCGGGCCAATTCGAATTCACTCTAAGATAAGAAGCCCACAGTAGACACGTGCTCCGAAGAGGGAGCCTTCTGATCAACTTTTGCACACGAATTTCAGGAGGAAAGAGGAGGCAAGAAAGAACGTGGTTGAACTGCAAAGGACCATAAGAAAAAATCCAAAAGCACTGATTTTGTCGTTTGACTTGGAGGCTTACGAACATGACCACAGCATTATTCTTGAGATAGGCTACGCTATGACAACCTTGGACAACCAAGAAGATGTACAGACGTTCCACTACATCATCCAAGAAAATCTTAGGTATGTAAGCAACTTGGCGGGTTTTGACTTATGAACGTCAAATTTCACAGAATTACATCTTACACATGAAATTTTCAGAATTTTACCTATGTAATCACAATTCTTGAGAAATTTGACATTCATTTTCTCGAGCTTCCATGAGAAATTTTCTTTGGTGTTACCACAGATGATTTATTACATCTTAAGCCCTTTAAAAAAATTTAAAAAAGAATGCAATATTCTTTTAATTATTCTAGTACAAGGTTTTTGTCCCCCGAAAATTAAAATTACTCAATTTCCTGGCAGATTCCGTCTTAATGCGGCAGCTTAGCTGTTTTGGCATGCGAGCACCTAAGAAAATGGCGAAAGAGTTCACGGCTATAGAAAGACGAAATAGCCGAATTACGGACTAAAAAATGAACGGAACGGATGCAAGAATATAATACGCAAAAACTTGAAAGTATTGCTACATTGATGTCAACTCCTTGAGTAGTATCTGTAAGGCAAAAACATCTTTCGTATTCTGAAACTGTGCCGAGAAACAGGCCTATGTGTTAAAGACCGTCTACGAGGAGGTAAGAGGTAAGGACGATATGAAGAATTATGCAGGTCCGAGGCTACTATCCACCTGAATAACTCTTTATATAATATTCAGTCTCATTCAGTAATTACAGAGCGTCATAATGTCCCTGCTGACTCAGCACATACACCTTGGTTGGTTGATACAGCAATGAATGAAAACTTGTAGCGACTTTCCGTAAAGGTGGATCGTCAAGTTGTATTTGGCCAGGGAGTCACGGCTGTAATGACATATTACTCAACAATTGACAACTTCCTTGCGTTTTAATTCAAATAACCAGTCACAGCATGTCAAGTCCCCTTTAAAGGCAGTGTGTCCAACACTAAAGATTTTCTAGAATACAGACTGCGTAATATCGAGAGTACAAGTATTTATAACTCTCCTTATAATCTTACAGTTATTCAAACAAGGATTATGTTCCTGACAAAAGAGAACAATTTAAGTTTGGAAAATCTCAGCACATGCCTCTCAAGGAAGCCGCTGCAAGACTCCGGGAACATATCCAGGGCGCGCATTTTTTGGTAACTCATTCCGGAGCACACGATACAGAGTTTCTTGAGAGCTGTGGGGTCTCCGTGTCTGGGAAGCTCATGTTCGACACTCAAGTGCTTTCTTTGGCGTTACTTCCTGACGGCCCAAAGGTGTACGGTCTGAAGAAGCTTTTGGAAGACTTGAAGATTGATTTTGACGAAGACGTTCTTCATAATGGCGGAAATGACGCCTTCTATACCCTGAAGGTTTTCCTTTCCCTTGTGGCAAAACTAGACTTAGCATGAAGATTTCAGTTAGGTTTAAGCTACAATCGGTAGCAACGCAAATTGAAAATGCAAGGGAAACCACGAGTATCGTCAAAGTCTTGCCATATTTTCTAGAATTTTCCTTGCTAAGCTTGCTAAGAAAGTCAATTAAACAACATGATTCAGTTTATTATTGCAATTTTAAAGAGATAGCTTTGAAATATATAACTCCAGGCTGTTTAGCACCTTTTCTTTACGTTAACAACAACTCTGTGATGCAAACCAAATCAGTGGAAAGTGTTTTTCTCGTTCTAGTTTAGACTATTAAAACTATGGATGCTGCGGGAGATATAGCTCGGTAAATATCCACCAATATCAACCTCTGCATTTATATACCACCGTTTAACCCCGCTGATACGGACACTGAGGTCGACATCGCCGGAAAGTGTCCGTATCAAGTGGGTCGTGTTATTTTGGTCAAAAATTTACCTATCATGATGCAATGTACAAAATATTAAAGAAATAAAACAGGACTTTAACTTTGTCAATTTCAACATCTCTAACCTACACAAAGCCGTCATTTAGCGGACTAAATCCATGGAAAGACTCAAAACTGTCGCTAATTTTTACATCACTAAACAAATTTCGTTCTCTGTGTAACGAGTCCTTTGATCTGAAATTGACTTCTTGAGTCGTCCTAACCGGTAAACTGAAGCGCTGGGACATCGACATGCGGTAAGCTGAAGGTTCTTCTTTACCTTCCATAAGGAAAGATTTTTATAGCACACGGCTGTGAAGTTTCCGCATAAACAAGCGTTCGTTGTCCGTATATATTAACAAGTGTCCGTATTAAGCGGGTTGAATTTACCGGGAATGTAAGGGCTTTCTTTCCCCAGGGACAAAGAAAACTGTCCGTAATAACGGGTTGTCTGTATTAAGCGGTGTCCGTGAAGCGGAGTTTAACTGTATAAGTAATTTTTGAATAATGCTGTTGAGTAGGGGCGAATGACACTTTTGTTCACACAGTTTATATATTACTACCAAGATAATATATATTTACTGGACTGTTAAGTATATTTAATCTTAAGATTAGGGCTATCAAAGGCTCTCCGCCAAACATACCCCAATGTTGTTATAACAAGCCGAATTTCGCTGAGAGCATTATCACTTCACGGACAGAGTTTTAAAATGTACAATTAATTTCAGAGAAGTAAGCTTTTTAGATACCTTTATTTCTTACAGCAAGATATATAAACTATCTGGTCAGTTTAAGTACAATATTTGATTTTAAAAGATGTCCCACCAAACAGAAACCATACCACCTCAGCAAACACTTCAATATATAATGGTTTTTCCTTTACAATGTGCTGAGAAAACACGATAACTACTAATGCATTGTTCTACTCGATTGGTTAACATTGAAACATAACTCACAGGCTATAACATTTACTGCAGGTAGGCTTTTCCCATTTGATAACAACAATTCCTTTAAACTCGGTAACTAATGCCCACTGTCAGTAATTATTTAGTAAGTACTCCTCAATTTTGCTTATAATATAATCCACAGTTTCTAGCACGAAATACATTTATTTTCTTGAGTGACTGGGCCTGAATACACAGATGTATGTTTAGTCTAGACTATTCCTATGCTTATTATCAAAACTTTCACTCTCATATATTAACTCACTATAAAATGCCAGTAGGCTCCGTAGAATGTAATAAATTAATCCTTGTGTTTATACAATAGTTACATAATTTTCTGATTAACATGGAGGGTCAAGAAAACATCACTTTGAAAATGCTTTACTACTCCTTAATTAAAAAGTGATTTTCTTCCAAGTATAATACATCCAGCTCAGACCAAATTTGCAATAAAATAGTTGGAAAATCCTAAGCAAGCAATAGTCTAATGTTAAATATACAACTTCTTGAAATAACCAATAAATAGGGGACCATCACCACTGTTAACGATAATCCGTTCCTACGTTTAACTCGCGTCACCTGCTGTCTCTAGATTTCTTTCCAGACTAACGCGAGAAATCATCACTCGATTTCCGGCAAGAGTGCCATAGGGCGATTTCTCAGACGTGCCAGAATTTTTCAGTCGATCAGTTTTGATGATCCTTGTAACAAGGAATATGGCCCATATTTGGGTGAGGGAACAACAGTTATCAAGTCATGAAACCTTGGACTACTTCCCAGGGACAATTGAGATTTGAGACATACAGAAAACTATTCAACGGGAAAGTTCAGTCGATGCAGACAAATATTTTTCGAAGTCATTAAACTTTATGTCTAACAACAGAGAAAAATGCCGAAGAATGGGCATCCTAATCATGTACATGAAATTATTCCCATCGCGATTGATTTCTTTGCACAAAGTTTCAAATTATTTCACGGGATCAAGGTATTGGAGAGAAAAGTTTTATGCCGTTTTATACGTGGTAGAGCGGTATTCATTCAAGGTTTTTCTAAGTAGCACATGATGGCCATTTTGATTTTTCACTTGCCGTTCTGTGATTGGCTAACAATCTTGCTTCACTTTCTCCACCCAATCAAAGTCAAAGCCGAAACCAAACGTGACTCAGGTAATTGTTATTATGGTTTTCCCGCGCTTAAAGCTGTAGTGGCCCCCAATTCTATGCGGAAAAACGACTGAGAGAAATGTGTTTGCTTTAAATTCCCATTGGTTGACTGGATTGTCTGTGTTAGTAGCGCGTTAAGATTGGTCATAGTAATAGGCTCTTTGCATGACTTGATCACGTGATCAACTTTCGGCAAACATGAAAACAGTTCACTTTTGAAACCTTTTCTTAGCAGAAGCTGAAAGAGCATATTAAAATTAGGTAACCTGAGAATTTTCAGCCGTATATCTCAAAAGTAGCGATTGCCACGGCCGCCGAAAGTTGGATGCATTTGTATGAGAAAAACAACTTTTGCCATCCAGTCATGCTTGCATGGTTTTCCATATAAATCCTTGTAATTTCGAAATTTTCACAACTTTCATGAAATATTTTCTTAAGCATTATAGGGCTCAAATCTCCTTTTAATTCATAACAGGCAATTTGAGCCCTTCAATACGTACGGGAAAGATTTAACGACAGTTTAAAAATTTTAGAGTTCACAAGGACTTGTACGGAACACCACTCAAACGTGACTGGGTGGCAAAAGTTGTTTTTACTCATACAAATGCTTCCACCTTTCGGCAGCCGTTACAATCACTGCTCTTGAGATACACGGATGAAAATTCTCAGGTTGCTTAATTTTAATATGCTCTTTTATTATATAGATACTGATGAAATACCAGGATTTTTCCTTTTACTAAAAAAATCATATCTTCATCGCGCGCAGCGAAGGTACTATTTTTATCTTTCACGTGTAGAGGATATTGGTGTTGCCATGGTTACTAACATGATTAGCCAATTGCAAGAGAGCTTCCCTCTCAGGCGCGCGGCCGGTTCTTTTGACATTTCATTCACAAAATGGCTTCGAGGTGGGAAGACGGTAGTTACCGGTGACTTTCTCGATGAGCTGCCAAATTTTCACATCGATACTCTCTCCGAGCTTGAAGAACATTCAGGACGATTTGCCGAAAAAAAAAGTTGTGTTTTATGTAGGAATTTCATCAGTATCTATAAAATAAACAGAACGTTACATGGCCGCTTGGGACACGAATTTTATCGTCACTCGAAGATAAAATTCGTATCCCCACGCGGCCATGTAATATCCTCTATTTATCTTGTGCTAAAAGAATTTTTCAAAAGTGAACTGTTTTCGTGTTTACCGAAAGTTGATCACGTGATCAAGTCATGCAAAAAGCCTATTATAACCATAGCTTTTTTCTAACAACACTCAGTTACCACAATTTTTCATTACTTAGGTTATTTCCTCCCTTGGTCCTTGGTGTTATCACTTTTCCTTCTCATTCTGCAGCACTACCATTATCCTAAAAAAGATAAGAGATAACTGATTAGCGTGGCTTTCTTAGCCGGACAACTTCATTGATATCGGACATCTAGAACTGGTCCCTGTGGTTGTCATTTCTCTGTAGACTCTCAAACTGAGCTGGACACCTATCAAACCTCGCATCAAAGACGGATACTGAGTGCCATTATACACGTTGTCTGTGTTAAAGAATTGATTGCACTCTATAACAGAGCACTGTGGAATGATGGAGTTCTCTATGTCCGCTGAATGAGAGTATTGAAAACCCATTTTACAGGGCTAGCCTCAAGCTGAAGTGGATATATTCCCGAATTCCAGCAAGAGGACGACTTGTTTACTACTCTGTGCCGGTATTATTTTCTTTAAAATTTCTGGTACTTCCTAGTCACTCACATTTGGGAATGCTTTACTTAGAGTCGAGGCCAACCCTGTCCCTGTATTTATGTGTCAGCCTAGTGTTTGTATTTTTTTTCAGTAGGAATTAAAAGCGACCAGCCACCCGGTGAAATTGAACAAACAAATCGAGAGAATTAACATGTTCCATGCTTCTGTTTGCTGGTATTTCGAGGCATTTCCCAAAATTACTTTAGTCACACCGTGAAAACGTTGCTTTAGCAGGCTCCCTTTTTAGTTGTCCTTTTACGCAGAATCGTAAGCTTCATGATTCCAGTAACTTTTCAATGTTCATTGTTCCTTACAATTCGAAGTGGACAGGCGGCAAATTGTTGTTGTTGAAAATATCTATAAGTCGTAACAGTTCATCAGTCGGATGCCTAAAATGTGTGCAATTCCACAATTGGTTTCGGCTCTATTAAATCCTACACCAATTACAGAACATTTTGGGAGGAGCAACCCACAATGTGAGCAAAGTTACTGACAACAAGTGACAAGGAATACGAGTTAGGAAAACAACACAACGTAAGTGCAATGCGTTAAATAATGAACTAATTGAACATGTCAATTTTAATAAGCTATGCTTCTCCGGACACTTTTCACACAAAAAAAAATCTCACCGTATCTTTACCAGTCCCCCCTGGATCAGTGTCTTCGTTTTCCCGTCCTCCATCGGGAGAGGGTCTGGGAATAGCTGGAGTGAATAACTTCGACTGACTGTCCTGCAATACATATAAGAACAACAATAAAATATAAGGCAACACGAAAACAGCAAAGCACCTTAAAACTAAGACCGAAAAATAGCTGTAATAATAATTATCATCATCATCATCATCATCGCAATCATCATCACAATCATCATCATCATCATCATCATCATGACGAAAACAATATAAGATTGATTAACTTTACTTCTTGTCTTTGCTGTTTTAGCAGCGTTTTATGAGTTTCACTGTCACGCACGGTCGGGGGAGACGGCGAGGGAACTGGAACGGGTGGTGAATCGGAGCTGTGACGTTTCACCATGTGTCTCATCCTTGCCCTTGGCGACGTATTGTGAGACTGACTCTTCTTCTGCGTGTCACGCGGACTGTTTTGTGACTCTGGAGACATTTCCTCCGCAGCCTGAAAATTTTAAGTTGAATACATTAACCCTTTAAGCCCGGCCAATATCCACATACAAATTCTCCAGACATTCCCCTGCAGATCTCCATACATTTCCTTAAAGAATTGAGGGAAATTGATCGAAAAGATCAAAGCATTTCCCCTTTGGTGATCATTTTATTACTTATCAAAACCTTTTTCTCTTGATGATGTATGGATATTGTCTCACTTGACTACATTTACGAGTCCAAGCAACCCAGTTTAAAACCGCCGCCCGGTTTGCTCAATTGGATTAGCGCCGGTCTGTTGAGCGGGAGGTCGCGGGTTCAAACCCCGGCCGGCCCAACACTTGGGGTCTTAAAATAACTGAGGAGAATGTGCTGCCTTTGTTGTGACATCTAAAATTGGTTAGACATTCTAGTCTTCTCCGATAAGGACGAAAAACCGTTGGTCCCGTCTCGCAGCTCATTCACTGTTCTGACTCGTGTGGAACGTAAAAGAAACCACACTGCTGTTCGTAAGGGTAGGGGGCGTAGAGCCCGGTGGTGTGGTACAACTTTTCATGGGCTTGGTGGGTAATGAAAGGGTTGATATCAATTGGGACGTTAGTCCTGTTTCATCCCCTGCCACCATGTTGAGTCACCGAACGAATTCAATTAAGTAATAAAGTAACCAAGCAAGCAATATTTTAAATATCAGATATCATTTGAATATCACAAAGCCAGTGAGAAGGGTGGCCCTCCTACTTTTTGCCATACAGTAAGCTGTAACGCGACATAACTGTAACACATACACCAAATCTCTCACCTGCCCTGCCCCAGCATTCCTTGGGGAGTCTGGGTCCGAATTTGACGTAAAAGGTGATTCTTCTTTGGCGAATGACGAGAATTCATGCTCAAGTGGCGGAGACCGAGAATTCTTGGGAATGGGTGGTATTGTCTGACAACAAAATACAAAATAAGTATTGCAGTAAAATCTTGGAAGGATCATTCAATTTTATAAATTCAATCACAATTTGTTTCAAAGTCGCTAGTGACAGCCAAAACAGATGAACAAAACACGTATTGCAGTAAAATCTTAATCTATTACTTTTATATACTGGAAGGCTCAAGAACGTATTGCTGCAAAGTCGCTCTAGACAGACGAACGAGGGCGCCGTTAAACCCCAAGCATCTAGTGAGGTAAATTCTATCAGGCCTGTAAAACTTGGCTTTTGTAAGGTAACCCAAACACCCCTTCAACAAGGTTCACCTTTCAAAAAAAAATTAAGCGCCATTTTTGTACGCTTCTTACCTTTTCAGGTTATTTTTGTTTTTTTCCGTTTTATATATCTTTATTTCATATCACTTGGGTCCGACAGAGCACATTCAAGTCGTTTAAGAGCATTAAGTGACCCACGAGGTCTTTCCAGCTGACAAATCCATTCGTGACACTCATGACACTCAAGTGCCATATCAGCAGACATCAGGCAGGTTTAGAAATAACAACGCGACGGCAAACGAGAACGCGAAAACGCGCAGGAAGAACTGAGCGCGACTTCCGGTATTTAATTTCCCGCTCTGATATTGGTAAAGCCAGGAGCCCATCATATTGATGGGCTCCTGGTAAAGCTTGTTTTTAGTTTTGCGAGAGCTGACGTCACTGCCGTCGCGTTCTCATTTCTCAAACCCTCAACCGCTTAGTCTGTGGTGTCAGATTTCCCTTGGTTGTCAGAAAATGGGGAGTGGGACCTTAAAATCTAAGCAGTTTGTGTTGCGAATAAACATACATTCATACCTGTCTAAAGCGTCCCTTATAGACATGACCATCGGAACCTTTCAGCAAATCAATAACAGACATTTCTCTTCCCCAATTCGGGATTTCTGTTTGTTCTTCACGGGCTACAAATCAAGAAAAGAATTTTTAACACTACACCTACCATATCTTCTCTTGGATCCATGTAAGACGCTGGGAAATTACCCACCTACCCATCCCCTAACCCAACATTTAGCCCCAAGTGGGAAGTTAGTGTCAACGCTGGGATAACGGACGGGTGGGTGGGTAGTTTCTTCTCAAAATTATACACAGAGGCAGCGTTCCCGAGCGGTTAGAGCGCTGGAATCGCAATCCTGAGTCCACGAGTTCAAGTCCCGCTCTGAATGCTAGCTGGATTTGTTCACACGGCAGTCCCGAGTTCAAATCGTCGATCGGTCACCCTGATTTGTCTCCGGCCAGTTGGGATTCTTAACCTTATCATGTTTATTTTGAAATGTTTGTTTCTGAAAACTACTGGGTTACCAGTAATTGGGTTACCCCTATGACCTCATTTTTCCCTTTATTAGTTTAATTTTAGTTGTTTTTATTACTTTTATATACTGAAAATAAGAAATGTACTCAGTACTGTAATTGGTTAAACACAAACCTAACACTTGGTTTAGCTGCGTAGTTCTGTTTCTTCTCTTTGGATGATACATAACTGTGTGACTTCCTCCGCACGGTCGCCCTGATATGATCTCATTTAAAGACCTTTCTGCTTTACCACCTCCGTAATGACCTCGCTGATACTGACGAATCTGCAAGCAACAAAACGGTAGCAATAAAAAACATAACAAAAAGTTAGAATGACGCGAAACAAGAGCAACTAGATATATAAGTGGAGTTTAACTGATCCGGCGTCATTATCAAATGGTAACAATGTCAAGAAGGAATACTAAAGCAGATGAGAAAAAATATATTTACTTACAGCCAGTTATGGATGGATTTGGGGGTACCTTATTGCCTTAAACTGTGACTTGAGTTAGACTTCGTTTACATAATCAGTAGGGAAGAGGCTTTCAAAGCCCTATAGTGAAAATCCCCCGAAATAGGCAAAAATCAAATTAATTTTTGTTACTCTCTAAGAGGCTTCTTACCTGGTCCATTTCAAAAGATAAGTAAGGTCCCTTGGATCTCTTTGTACGGACACCCCGGGGCAACGGCAGGTTGCTTTGATTGGGCCCTCGCAGAGGAAGCTCCACAGGTCTACTACAGGAAATGCAGTTGAACTTAACTTGCTTGCGGAACCCGGCTGCATCGGAAAAGTCCACTTTTGTCTCAGCAGCAATGAGATTCCTGGACTTTTGTACATCTGCTATTCGGCGCTCTAGAAAAGACAGTTAAAACATATTACCTTCTGGCCGCACAAAACTGCGGCACTAACTTTGGTAACAACTTAAGTCTATCGAAAAAAAAAAGCGCAATGGGTGAATTGGGGGGAATGAAGACTTGTACGAAGGGTACTTGAGCCCTAAGAAACATCGACGATTATAATTACTAGATGGACTGGCATCAACAAAAAGGGAAACAATGATGTCAGCAAAGATTCGCCTGATCCTTTTTGCAGTTCTCATTGCCGTCGCGGTCGTCGTTGTTTAAGCTCCCTAGTGCTTGCAACAAGGCTACACCTATTATGTAGGATATACTTGTACGCGTGATGTACCTAAATAGTTCTTGAGTGCTTGAAAGGCCTGTCCATCCATTTTCTCTGACATATCAGCCGATAGCTGCTTCAAGGCTTGTTTCAGAGCCATTTCCTCATTCATATAGTCATCCATTTTCTGTAGAGCTTCTCTGAGTCCTTCATCCAGCATGTTGAATGTGTTATCAAATGTTGACACATTCACTTTGCTATCCAATGCAGCTTTGTCAGCTTTGATGTTCATTTCCAAGGCAACATTTTCCTTGTCTGCTTTACTTTCTTGAAGTTTTTCAACATAACTGTACAGTGCTTCAATGTGTTCCTGCAAGAAAGCGGGAAAGAAAATTATGCAGCACTCGTAAACAGAAGCACAAATTAATATCTATAAGTAGAAAAGACTGCTTGTAAGGACCCATCATTGTACCTCATTGCCTTGATATGCATTTATATCAACTACCATATTGCAAACTACCATTCAGATGTCTAAAGTCCCGTCCTTACGAATCTGGACATTTTTGAAACCGTATATTCTATTTTTACACGAAGCATTGTCCGTCTGATCACCGAAACCGCATCTTTCTTAAAAAGCTCTCCAGAGTGATTTAAGGCCCCACCCAAACAAATGCGGGTAAAAAATTGCTGTTTTAAAAATGTTTAACAATTAACACCTTTGTGGCTGGAGATAATTTTCTCTTTTTAATTCTCAAAACCATGAAATTGATTTGTAGGGATTAAAGGGTTAATTATGTTAGGCCACACATTATTAAGAATGCCTTGCTCTCCTCATCCTCCACATTCACCCTTTTTAGAGTGCCTGCCAGATAATCTACATTATAAACTTCATCTTTGAAGGTTGGGATTTATTTTTAAAGTATTGTTTAATGCTTACATGACATAGACCATTTATGTACAGCGGAGTACATGTACCTGTTTTCTGCTAAGATCCTGAACCACTTCTGAATGTTGTCTGTCTGCCGTTAGAACCAGTTTTTCCTGTTCTGCTTGCAGATCAGTTAAGTGTTCTCTCAATGCATCCAACACACTGCTGTCCACTCCAGGTGACTGGCTAACGACTCCTGTGAAAGCTGGTTTGTTTTGTCGAGCAATTATGGCAAGTTCACGTTTGATTCCCTCTATGTGATCTTTGTTGTTAAGAGCCATGTTCTTGATTTCAGCAAGAGCAACTAAGTCTTGATTTGTATTTAGGAATTCCAAACCTCCAATGAAAAATGAAAATAGCAAATATTCACATACATTTAGTCATGAAGAGTTACTGTAAACAGCAAGGAGCCCAAAAGTGTGACCGCCTTTAATTAACTCACATTCTTTCATGCAGACATTAACCAATCAGAAGTCGAGGGCAGTTTCCAGCTGGCTTCTGATTGGATTAAATCTGTACTAAAGAATGTGAATAAATCAAAAGTGGTCACACTTTTGGGCTCCTTGCTGTAATTGATTTCACCTCCAAGCAAAGTAAAATAAAAAAGAGAGAAGAAAAAGAAAAAAATATAAAAGAAGAGAGAATCGAAAAATACAAAAAATATTTTCATTAAAAAAAAAAAAAACAAAAACAAAAAACACTCACCCATACAAGAAGCTCTACATCTCTAGATTAATTATCCTGTATTCCCTCCCTCTGGAAACACATTTGTTCTGTTCAATGAACATTGGGAAACTGCACTGGTATTGCAGACGTCAGGGTTCAAATCCTGACAAGCTAAAATTTTTTCAAGCTTTCATTTTGCAACTGCATAAGTTGCGTCTTCACCTTTAATTAATGTCTGGTCTTTGCATTTATTTCTTAATCCAACAGTTCATTAATTTCATTTTCATGAATTTCATTTTCATTTTTCCCAGGCATATTACAAACCTATTTATTGACCAGCTTTCATTCTACAGGTCCAATATATGACATTCATATTTTACTCACTTCACACCTTCATCATTTCCAGAGAATATTACAAACCAGCTTCTAGTTGCTACCTCAATTGGTTAGAGCACTGCACCTGCAGTATCGCAAAGGTCAGAGTTTGTCGTGAATCCTAGCCTGGGACCAGGCTCCGCAGTGGGGGAAAAAAGGCAACAGTCAAAATGCAGGAAAGTGAAGCTAGACTAGCGGTGGTGGGGGTCAAAATAGTGGCGAGTGAAGCAAGACTTAGCGGTGGTGGGGGTTAAAATATTGGTGAGCGAAGCAAGACTTAGCGGTGGTGGGGATCAAAATATCCATGAGCAAAGCAAGACTATCATCAGTGGTGGGGGTCAAAATATTGGCGAGCAAAGCGAGACTAGCTGTGGTCTGGGGAGAGGGAAAGGGCCACTCTTTCCCCTCCCCAGACTACCTCCCGTTTCACTTTGCTTGCCAATTTTTTTTCCTTTTTCCCCCAATGAAGAGCCTGGTCCCAGGCTACGTGAATCCCAGCAAGAGTGAATTCTCTCAGGCTTGCCTTTTGCAACTGCCCTTAACTACCTTTTTTTTCTGCAGTTGAAATATATGAAATTCATTTATTGATCATTTTAGCATACCTTGTTTAAGCATAGCTAGTTGATCCTGTAAGTCATCAGGAATATTCAGATCTTCCTTGCTCACTTTCTGTGGCAGGGCATGTTCTACTTTAGCCAACTCTCCAGCCATTTCCTGTTGTGATTCAACAACACTGACCACACGTTTCTCCACCTGGGTTTGCTTATCTGACAGTTCTCCAATTTGCCTGAGACACTCCACCATTTCCTGAGATGGGTACTCTGCAGGAGGCAACAGTTCTTGAACATGTACCTGCAAAAGTGAGGTTTTACAGTCAAGCAAGGTCAAGTGTACCCCCCAAGATTCCATTAATAAATTTATTATTCAAAAGTTAAATCTGTTGGTGCTTGTAGATTTCAGATTCATCATGGCATTCTTGCATGCGTACTGAGTCGTGAATTCACACGCGAGGCACTTACAAAATTTCTACCTGCTTCAGTTTGCCTGAATTTGATGTAATAGTATGCAAAGAAACTTAATCCATTCAAAGATTTTCAATCTGACCGAATACAGAGATATTCTCATAAAATATTCACTACTCATTACGCAAGCAGGAATGCTGATTTGAATTTGACACTAGTTACTGGAACGACAAACAGATTCATTTTTCAGATAATCTGGCATGAGAAATTGTCCTTCAGGCATATGAGAGTGACGTCTTTAGTCTGCAGGCGTGAGACTCATAATGCATGAGAGTTTGCAGGCATATATAAATCTAAGTACTCCACTTTATCAATGACATCATTACTGTACCACAAACAACTTTCCTAAACAATAGTTTAATATGTCTGTAAAGGGGACACCCCGCAAAGATGAGAGGGATTAGAGACAGGAGTAGGGAATGACTGAACCCTAACCACTCAATTAAAAGTCTGAATCATGAGTAAAACACTGTGCAATTTCAAGCATGTTGAAAACTAGTCATCTTCACTTATGCTCTTATATAATTTACAGTCTGATAATGGCATCAACTAATCAGGGTATAGCTAGGAGGGCTTCAGGTGTCTTTGACCCCCCCTCCCCTGTGAGAGGCATTCCTTTTTTCTTTCTGAAAAAAGGCCTGAGCCAAATTCCACACTAAAATCCTGAAATTCACTGTCTTTAAAGGATGACTCCTTAGCCATCTTATTGTTTGAAACCTCACTTTGTTGAAAATTTCTTCCTATCAAAGTCGTTCCCTGTCAGCTGTTCTTGTATGGGCCAAAATTTGATGATGTTACCATTATTGTCCATGCAGCTATTTTGTATGCTTGTCTCTCCCCCAAGCTCATTTGTCACCCCCCAACAAAAAAACAAGAAATTAAAACTACTTATAGTAAAACACAGAAAGGATGTTGAAACGACAATCTAGTAAGTACCATGGGGCAAGACATGGTGCATGATGCCCCTTTGAAAATCCTAGCTAGGCCCTCAACTAATAATTAATTTAATTTATGAATAATCAGTTTAATTCATTAATTATTAGTTTATGGGGGGTATGTTTGGCTGGGCAAAATCGTAATTATGCTTAAATATAAGCTCACGGACCTGTGTACTTCTTGCAAAGGCAGTCTTAGGGTGTTCTGGCGCTGGTATTGGTGTCTGAAGTGTTGGCGGCATTGGAGCAGATTGTGGCCGGCCATCTGACTCTGTATCATCAACTTCTTCACTTACATTATTATTATGATCAGGGTCCTTTACTGGTGTCTCCTCTGGATGCAGAGCGACTGCACCAGTTGCTACTCTATTTTCCCTCTCAAGGTCTGTTTTCTTAACATTCAAAGCTTCTTCCAGTGCAGGCCATTTCACATACACTGACAACTCATCCTTTGTTGCAAATCTACTACCAAGTTCTTTTTCTATTGAATTTATACGTGACATGGCATCTCCTTCAATAAAAGCTTCAGTGGATGGCTTCTGTCCCAGATTACTGTCCACTGAGTTTGTTTGACCATGAATGCTCTCTTTGAGATTCTTCAATTCATTTGCGACATCTTCCATGTCACTTTTCAGGCTAGTTATGGTCTTTCCATCAGTTCCAAGAAACTCATTCAAAATAGTCATTACTCTGTCAATAGCCTCTTCTGTGGCCTGAAGTCGCTTGTTAAATTTCATAAACTGCCACAACCCAGAAAGTGTAGTTTGAGTGACAGCTTCATCTTGATTTAAATGTTTTGATTGTTGTGCCTGCTCAATAATAAATTGATTGGAAGGTGGGTTGTCAAGAATCTTCAATCTCTCTTCTAGTTCTTGAACTTTTTGCTCAAGGTTTTCTTGCCTTTTCTGTAAACTGATAAAAAATGTAACAAAGGTTTAAGACAAAAAAGTGAAGAAGTCATTATACACAAGCAGGGATTTAGAGGGGGGCTAGGGGAGGGGTAGCCTGAGAAGACAGCCGACATTTGGCGACGCTGCTGCTGGTTTCCCTGCCAAATGACGTCTGAGAAACGAGTGCAGAAATTCCATACTGATCACGTGTCACTACCCAGATCCGGGTAGTGCTTCTGACTGGTTGAATCAAATTTCCCACGGAGCACGACCAATCAGAAGCACTACCCAGATCTGGGTAGTGAAGAGTCATCAGTATGGAATTTCCGCACTCGTTTCTCAGACATCATTTGGTGGGGAAACCAGTGGTAGCATCACCAAATGTTAGCTTTTGGACAGATGCTTTTAGAGTTCTTTAACCAATACCAATTGGTAGCAGAGGAGTCGCCTGAGGTGAATTTTCAAATGTTTGCTTTCTTGCTACATACTCGTATATCCATCATATTTGCCAGTTCGGTTTTTTTTGTTTTTTAAGCTTTAGAACAATAAAAACTTCTAAAGGGTAGATAAGAGGACGGATGATTGTATACACATATGTTGCAAATGACTCTCCCCTTGTTGAACAGATTAAAGTAAATTACTAAAAAGCATGAACTGCGTGAGTGAGGTTTAATTTTCCATTCTATCATTTCAACATGATTTCTATCTGCATCGTCTACATTTCACCTGCTCTGCCATTTATTCTTAGTCTGCAGTCTACACTTTATTATCAGGATCCCATCCCTAACATTTTTCAGGCCACCCACCCCCAAGCTTCGCGGGTTTCTGTGATACACATATTTCTAATATGTTCAGCTGGTCTGTGGTTCACAGTCTACATTCTACACTGACCTTTTTTCTGAGGGTATGTATGGAAGGCATGTGATGACAATGCATTTAGCAGTACACCTTCATTGTGTTTACTTTTCCTTTAAATAAATAAAATAACTAATATATTTTTTTAAACTCATCATAACGTCCTCATAGCCTTTGCGCAGACGAAATTAAAGTTTAGTTATCGTCTGCACGCAGGCTACGTCTTCAATGCCCACAGCAAAAAAATTCCAATTTCTTTTCTATTAATGATCAATTCTGCCAAAAAAATTAAAACTTACATTTTAAAAACCTCATTTTTTTGACGTCTGAGAAGATTGAAACAATTTGACGCAGTACTTTGAAAAAAGAGAAATATGGGCAAACAGAGATGAGACGACTCCACAAACAAAGACAAGACTTATAAAGCTATAATTTGCAAGTACAGTGTATCTTCTCATTCCTGGGGCGTTAAGCGGATTATCTTTAGAGCGACAACGCCGAAGTCCGCCCAGTAAATTACTCTGTATTGAAAAGAAACTTCGACAGGCTATGAAAAACTACGAGGGCTTTTAATATACAGGTGAATTTAACTGCGCGGCAGACGCATCAATATCAGGTTTTAAATTTCAATATTCTTGCGTTTCCACAGTGACGGAGGCTGTGAATGACAACACTAGCAAATCTTGCATTTAGTTTTTTCTTGCTCAATAACTTAACTGGAGATAAAATTTCGATTGAAATAACAAGACATTTTAAAATAGATTTGAGTGATGCATTTGGAAGAGTATTTCATTGTCTTTAAATAATGACAGGTCCCTTACATTTTAAGCTAGCCCTCAGGCAAAACAAAGCGACCAGGATCGAGATATCTTTAGGTAATTGTGGAGAATCAATAAAACATACAATTAGTCGAATCCGTAGAAGAATATAATGTAATTTCTTGCAATTGCGAACTAGAGAACCTCTGTTTGACATAAAGAGTAAGGGAGACAATAAGCCATGTTCTTTATGAAGCCTTCAGAAACAGCAAAGTCGGCGAGGAACTTAAATAATTCATGACAGTAGCCACCTACAATTTGTCAAAAGCACACTTCTCAACATAATTAACACTGGCCGGCAATGGAGAAAAACGAGCATGTTTCGTAGCTATGGATATTCGTTGTGAAAAGCATGACTCTTTGGACAAAAGAACAGTGAAAAACTTATGAAGTGTGAAAAGCATTAAAGAACTAACTGTTGTTACTCGCTTAGCTTTGCAACAGCAGATCATATCAACAACACTTTAACAGCTTAGATTATTTGCATATTCGAACAAGTGATGTTTAACAAAATTTGTCACAAACAAAAAGATTAACCTAACCTACTGCCGTTGCTTCTTTCAAACTCGGAGAAAGCTGTCCCCAGCTCCAAAGATTTGTCAGGTCGCTTTGAACGATCTTCTCCTTTGCTCGCCTCATCTTCGGCTTCCGACTGCTCAGTTTTCGTACTTTTAACATTTGCTTCGTTTGTAGGAGCAGCAAGTTTGGTATTGATCTCTCCGCTGAGCGGATCGTAGCTCAAACCTATGTGGTTCAAAATGGCGTGTAGAAGAGTGTGAAGGTGGTTGAAGTTCACAACACCCGCGTCTGGCGAACGCAGCGCCAAATCCACCAGACGATGCAACTCCATTTCGGCACCCATTTTGCAATACTTCACATCTTTTCTTTGTATTTCAGAG